GACTATATATTTCTTGCTACACATGAAAAAATTAATCACATTCACAATGAAGAGCTTGCAGTCTTAATAAAAGGCTTTGCATTTATTAGAAGGGGGAAAAGTTTCCTACCCCCCTCTTCCATGGAACAACCTTAAAGCAGCTATTAGATTCACGTACCAGAAAGCACAAAAGGGATGTCCCTGAAGATTAGCTGCCTTCTAGTTACCCAACAAACCTGTGCTATCCTTGACACTGCATCTGAAACATAAATTCATCATCTTGACATTCAGCAACTGCCTGGAAACACACATACACACACCAGGAAACGTTTTACCACACGCATTGTACCAGGCATGGTTAATAAAACACAGTGAAAATATTGAGGCACACTTAAAGGAGGGAGGGAGGGGGAAACTACTTGGATCCCCCCCCCGAAAATTTTAATCATACACAGTATCAAAAAATATAGCATGCATTCAGAAATGCCATGACAGCATCTATCACTTTCCCAGTAAAATACATCTCTTCCCCCCCCCTCCATGAAATACAACCAAGACACATACTAAAGAGCAAACCTGCAAGGCATTTTAACCACGTTGATAAGAGACTATCTGTTCCAAGGAAATGATAAGCAACTGATCACATTCTTAAGATCTCTAGAAAAGTGTTACAAGGAAAATGAATGTACTTGAAGCGGTAGGAAGATAGTTGATGGGGTTGTGTGTTTTTTAGGCGAGTGTGTTTATAATTCCCAAGATACTGAAACTCCTTTTATACAGCGACATGCTTGAAATTAAGATAGGGAGACAGAATGACTGAACTAAGCAGTTTCACTTTAAAGGCACATTCACACCCAACCTAATCGTGTTACCCAAGAATAAGCCTCACGGAGTTCAGCGATGATTTACTGCCTAGCAAGCGTGTTTGGGATCAAAGTCCTTCAAACACCCTGGCCAAAAGGTGCGCAACCAAATCCTGTGTACGTCTGCTAAGAGTTAAATCCCACTGAATTAAAGGAGGGCTTGGTTTCCAATTAATACCTCGGATTGCTCTGTTGCAATCTTGCGCTGGTTTACTGAGCAGTTCCGTGTCATTGGACTCTAGGAACTGCTTCTGGCTAAAACATACCTAAGGACCGCGCTGCCAGTTTCTCCTGATGCTGCAGCGACTCCTTTGCAACTCCCGTTCGCTGTCGTTTTTTCCTCGCCAAGTGAAGACTACGCAACAGACTACATGATCTCATGTAGGGATCAGCTGCTATCACGTTCCCTTCCGCAGACGCCCGCAAACTTCTTTCCTGTATTGGGGGCTGCAGATCTGAACAATCGCAATGCAGATTGACGGCCGCCGCCCCCCCCCCCAAAAAAGAGTCAGAAACGAAAATGAACGGTCCTGGGAGCTCGCTGGATCACTCCCGAGAGCGCAGCCCTTTGGATCAATTGTGCACGGACAGTTCACTACAAAGGCAATACAGATTTTACACCTTCCCTGAACATTCCGAGGACGCGCGCTGAAAACAAAGCAAAAGAAATGAAAGCAATGATATACCACCCCACCCTCCCAAAAAAAGTCAGCAGTACGGGGAGCGCAACCCTCCTCGCAGTTATTAGCATGCAGACTAATAGCGCGATCCTATCTGCCTGCCTCCTCCGAAGTAAGTCCTGCCGAGTTCCATGAAGCCTACGCGCAGGTAAGCGAGACCCGGACTGCAGCCTCCGGAGGTCCAAGGGCTTGCCCCGCCCGATCCCTTCGCGATCCTAAAGAAAAGGCGGCCGGGAAACTAACAGGTCGAGGGGGAGAGCCCGCGCCCTCCTGCTCCCAAGTTGGCATCCTGCACGGGCGCAGCGAGAGGAGGCGGCGCCGAAGAGGAGGCTGCTGCGGCTGCCTCCCCGGTCGAGGCTGCGAAGCAGCTCCGCACTTACCGGGCTCGCCTGGGTCTGGCCAAGTGGGCGGCGGCGGCGGCGGCGCACTTCCCCGGGCAGAGGAAGATGGTGGCTCGGCAGCAGCGCACCCATAGCCCGGCGCCCGTGTGCAACAGCCGCCCGGCGCTCGGCCGCTTCGCAGGGGAACAGCGAGGAGCGAAAGGCGCGCCGGCCCAACGCGCCAGCTGCTCCACGGCGCCGCCACCCGATTGGCTGCGCAGAGGCTCCCGCCGGCAGCCAGCCAGCCAACCCAGCCCAGCCCAGCCCGTCCACCTGCCTCCGCCGAGGAAGGGCGAGAGGAATCAATGGCAGGGGGGACGCTCAGCTCAGGAGGAGGGGCGGAGGGAGAGAGGGAAGGCTGCTGCTGCCCAAGGGAGCTCTTTGGTTTAGCCCCAGAATACAGGCCAAGGGAAGAAAAGGCAAGTTCTGGAACTTTCAGAAAGACTCTCGGGGAGAGGAGGGCCATTTGCCCCGCCCCCCCGCAGCGTCACCGTAATGCTCCTCACCTGGAGCTCCGTGAGGGGGGGAGGGGAGCAAATGAGTGGGCTGAGGTAATAAGTTGGGCCCCCGGCAGTGCAGCCCCACCGGTGCCACTTGCTCGCCCGCAGCTGCAGAGGCAGCCTTGGGAGCGAGGGGCAACAACGACCCTTCCTTGAAACCTTTATTTATTTGTTGGTTTATTAAAAGAGAGAGAGAGAAACATTTGTATGCCCCTGTGCATCGAATCAAAAGCAGCAATAAAAAGAAATGAAACCATGCATTAAAAAGCTTAAAGCCATTCTTTTGCCCACTCCGAGGAGTCCAAGGAAGACTGGTCCATTAAGGCAAGGGGGGCACTGCCCTCTCGACCCTCAGCCAACCTGGGTTCTGACTTCCTTCCAAACCAGAAGGCGGCCCTGGCTGCCAGCTTCCTCCTTAGAATCCATTTTGCCTGTGTGGAACTGTAGCAGGGAACAGGAAGGGGGACCAAGCTAGGATGTGCTGGATCGGCCTGTCATTGGCTCTGCAGATTGTTGGCCTCCCTGCCTATGCCCTGCACTACCAGGGTGCAAAGGGGACGAGATATTGTTGCTGGGCACAGCACAGACCAGGTCCCCATCCACCCAACAAGACTGGCTAGCAGTTACTCCAGGGTGTCGCTTCCTGACGCCAGCCTGCCTGCCTGTATAAAGTCATAATGAGGAGGAAAACAGGGTCTCTGTGCTTGCATATGGCGTGCCTGTACTCAGGATGGACCTACACAACAGGGTAAATGAAGTGGTAGAGCTCAGAGGTATGGATTGTACCACAGCAATACTGTAAGTGAGGGGTACCACTTTTTACTTCCCGTTGTTTTTTGTTTGTTTGTTTGTTTAAAAAATCCTGTTGGAATAAAAGCAACAACACAATACCATACAAGAATGTTGTAACCCAACTCTTTTCCTGCTGTGCTTTTTTCTATTTGGAAGGAGTACAAACTGTATCTGAAACGGTATAGTCCATTGTGCCACCTCATTTGTTTGCATACTCCCAGCTCTGAATAAACCTAGTACCACTAGTTTTCGTCTGTAGCTAATAGAGGCGCTTCTGAATCAGAGAAGTTTTCTCCAATTAAGGGGGGCAATTTTTCAGTCAGCCCCCGTGTCAAATTTCTTGATACTTATGTGGGTGATGTGTGATGATAGACAGGCAGCTGTTTTTTACTGATATCCACACTTATTATATTTAGGTGGGGGGGGGGGGTTTATGTGTAACGCTGGAACTTGCATAACAGACATTGTTTCTTTTGTTGTGACTTAGAGTGAATACAAAAAGAAATTACAGCTGATACTACTGCTTCTAGCTTTTTGCCAAAGCTTGATTCCGGCAATTAGGTGCCTGCTTTGCTGACCTCCATATCTCCTCGTGAAAACCTTATCTCTGCTAATTTATATAGACTGTGCCACTGTTTAAGACACAGCTACAAATGCCAGTTGAAAAATTGGCACCCCAACTATCCACTGCAGTTGCTTGCCAGAGATCAACCCAACCAGTTAAACCCACATTGTACAACAAAGAGACAGTAGGAGCAGTAGTCAGGCTACATATTTCAGCAGCCCTGAAAAATCTTGGAAAGGGTGTCCAGATACACATCCAAAGCATCACAGATGACCAAACAGCTGCAAGCTTGTTGCCCACATGACTTCTCCAATTTGCCTTCTTACAAATGAAACCTTTCCAATTCAGTCAATAACAGCCCTTCTCTTTCCAAAATTAGTGTTAATGGTGGTTAACAACAGTGTAAAACATCGTGATGATGAGCTTTGTAAAAACATATGTTTATTAAGATCTTGGAAGGGGAGGAAATGGCCCATACACAGGTACAGTAATAGCAAGCCACACGGCTTGCTATTTGTAAGCAGGAAATGGTAATCTTTATCCCATTGCTTTTATAGATTTCTGACCTCAGCTGTTGCATGCAGTCTTGGGTTGCATCTGTCCATTGGCCAGAAGTACTAATGGCAGAAGTGTCTTGGTGTGCTCTGAAGGGAAGGGTTGACTGACTGTCTGCCTTAGGAGGCATTCTAAAGGAGGGAAGCTGTAGAACACACAGCAAGAGATTCTCACTGTCTTGGCTGTTTGGTTAAGCAAAAAGGAAGACAAATAACCTGCCTTGAGATAAGGAACGCATGAACCTTTGCAAAAGGCCTACCTCTTGTTACTGAGAATTAAGGTCATGTCTTAAGAATAAGAAAAGGCCTTGCTTAAGAGTGCTAAAAACTAAGAAACTATGTGTTCTGACAATACCATGGGTGTACAATCAACTAGATCAGTCGCTTTCCATAGTGATCCTGTTTAAGGGACAGCAGGTGATTTATGTATCATATTCAGGAAGATAAACTAGTTGCGTGAATGATGTCATATCTGAGTGTGTCAACACTACACAGGTTAAAGAGTGTTATTACCCACCACCAAGTACGCCTAGCCATATTCATGCAAAACAAACGCATGAGGGTTAAAATCGGGAAAGAGGAGTGGGGGTGCCTCTCCAGTCCAATAAAGGAGGCTTAGAATCATAGAGCTGGAAGGGACCCTGAAAATCATCTAGTTTAAACCCCTGCAATGCAGGAGTATGCAGCTGTCCCATATGGGGATCAAACTTGCAACCTTGGTGTTATCAGCACCATGCTCTAACCAACTGAGCTATCCCGGCTTATAAGCACATCCAGCATTATTGGAGTCCTGATCACAAGGAGACTTTGTAAGCACATTTGGCTGAAACTCTTTCAAGTCCCTTTCTGCTCAAACACCCTGTGTACACAGGAACATTAGGAGCAATCAGCTCCCATATTCCAGTAGATGCTTGCGGAAGACTGTGACCAGATCCATGCATACAGATTTAATGTCCTATATAACACAGATAAAGCATCCAAGAAGATAATGCATCAAAGTTGTGAAACAGGCAACAGTAGCCATTAAAAACAACCCAAAGTACACAAAAGTTTTCAGCTTTTCAATACCTTGCTTTTTATGGCTTTTCCCTTTTTCACAACTTTGATGCATGATTTTCTTGGATGATTTATCCATGTCGTATGTCAATGCATGGATCTGGTCACAGCCTCTCACATGCATGTCACTCACTGAATGGGCACTGGTGTTGTGCATCCCTCCCCCCATTAAATTAAAAACAAAAGCAATAATTAATACAGCGATGGCCACGTGATGACCAGTATCACCAGCTTTACACCTGAAAATGAACTGTTTTGTACTTTTTGTTCCAGCTGTTAAGAGAACACTCAAGTAGATTATTCATGACAGGCACCCTCCCAAAACCAAGCACATACACACACTCACTTGGGTGGCTCCCCCTAAATTTAAGCATGCCTGCCGATTTGCACAGATTATGTTGCTCTTGAAAGACAAGACTGTATTTTTGTTTGTCAGTTTTGGTTTATTCTGAACGGTTGAGAACCCTACTTGGAGAATGTTCAGGTCTTAGGTATTCACTTCTTAAGATAAGTAAGTCACTGATATAGCAAGTTGAATATGGTTTGAATTTTATACATTACTCTCTTCCTTTGAAGAATTCTGTTGGCTTCCCCCCACCCTGCTTTTAAAAAATATTTTCTGCTTTCCCATTGTTTGCCTTGTTTTGTACTTTGATTTTGAAGAAGTCATGTTTTCCCCTCAGGTTCCACTTTGTAGTAATTTATGATTATTGTGTTCCAGATGGAGTCAAAACACTTTTTGTTTTTGAAGTCAATGAAGCAAGCAATTTTTCCTTCTCCACTTTTGAATCTTACAGATTGTTAATTGGTGTCTACAAGGTAAAAATGTGGTTGTTCTTTTTTCTTTCTTTTTTTCCTAAAAAGGAAACCAATTTATCTTTCACAGATTATTTTGTGGTTTGTTAAATAATGTAGAAAGAGCTTTGTTGACGGTGGCTGTACAGCAGTTTACGGAGGCTACTGTCACAATTGTCTCTGAAGTTGCCGGGGTGGAAAGGGCAAGGCGGGTAGTTTGGTGATCACTGTCCCTTTCAGTGTGAAGCATCCAAAAGGGACTGCCAGCTTTTGAACTGCCCCTGTAGCTTTAATGGCAGGTTGATGTGCAGACATCAGAAGGTGACAATAGAGTTATGATGAATGCCGCTGTCTATTATCTCTTGTTAAGCAAATTACTAGGATGGCTGTTCATGTTTCCTCTGTAGGAGCAAAGGTTGGAGGACCTTACAGAGATAATTGCTGAAATGTGAAACCCTTTTGAACATAGGTAGGCAAACTAAGGCCCAGGGCCGGATCCGGCCCAATCGCCTTCTAAATCCGGGCCACGGACAGTCCGGCAATCAGCATGTTTTTACATGAGTAGAATGTGTCCTTTTATTTAAAATGCATCTCTGGGTTATTTGTGGGGCATAGGAATTCGTTCTTTTTTTCCAAAATATAGTCTGGCCCCCCACAAGGTCTGAGGGACAGTGGACTGGCCCCCTGCTGAAAAAGCTTGCTGACCCCTGACTCATCCTTTCTCACCCATCCTCACCAGCTGCTGTTCCTAGAATTTAATGGTCTGTGCATGGATAAGGGCTGTAGCTAACTAGTAAAGCACCTTCTTTGCAAACAAAAGGTCCCTAATTTAATCCCCAGCATCTCGAGGTACAGCTGGGTGAGAACTCACCCAAAATCCCATAGAAAACTACTGCCTGTCAGTGCAGACAATATTGAGCTACATGGAACAAGGATCTGACTCAACCTTAGGCAGATTTATATGTTCTTAAGAAACTGTAGTTTGGAGAAAAGAACAAAGAGGCAAAGAGGTAGCTATAGCTCAAAGCATCTGAGGCAAAGGGGTGGCTTGCTGTGGAGAGCTGCATTATGGGACAGCTTCATAATTGTAACTAACCCAAATATTGGGGGGGGGGGATAATAATGGCTTGATTTTTTTTAATTCCAACTAGTGTTATAAATGTTTTGTTAAATAATATAAAATCAGTAAATAAGCCTCCAGGGATCTCTTTTATGAACGGAAGACTGGGTAGAGCAGATATTTATGCTTTTAGAAACTTCACCAGCTGCAGACTAAGCTGCTATTAGGAACATCAGAAGCTGCCTTATTCAAGGCCAGTCTGTTTGTTTATCCACACCAGTAGCGACTACATGGACTAGCAGCAGCAGCAGCAGCATTCCAGTATTTCAGGAAGAGGGTTTTCACATTGCCTACTACCTAACTTGGGGTGTGTGGGGCTTTTTTGTAACTAGAGATGCCAGGCAAGATGAAACTAAGCTGCAGTATGCAACATATTAAAGGAAGGAGGGGTAAGTCAGTGGTGGAGCACATGCTTTACATGCAAAAGGTGCAATATTCAATTGTCATCAACTCTGGGAAAGAGGCCTGTCTACAACCCTGGAAAGCTCTTACCAGTCTGACAATCTAGATGGACCAGTTGTCTGACTTGGTTTAAAGACTTCCTTTATTCCTATGCCTGTCCTACTACAGGCAGCGACAATATATTTCCTTTGAAAAGCCACTTCAAATTTACACCCTTTTGATATGCAAGTTTATACACAAGTGAAATCCAGTCATTATTTATTTCCAAGTAAGTGTGGCTAAGGGTGCACCTAAATGAAGCTATTTCATGTAAATTGTGGGCACCATAGGAGTGGGCTTGGATTGATTAGGGTGATCGCTTTGCAATGTGTTTTGGTGTTCAGCTTCTTTATCTGTATTTGGGGTAGCAGAGATTGACTTGGGGCAATGAATCAACACATCCGCTGAGCACCAGGAACAGTTGGACTGCAGCATCTCCCACTCCCAATCTGCCTTTAGATTAACATTTCTTAGCACTGCAGAAGGACCTGTTTGTAAAGCTGTTTGTGGAACAAGACTCTTAAGAGATATTTTAAAGTATACTACTATTGGAAGATATTGACCTAGGAAATTATTTATTTCTCTTAATACTGACTCCCAAAATTTTTTTAAAACTTGGGCATTCCAAAATTATATAATAAATGTTTGTGTTTGGACTTTTATGAATCTTGAGCATTGATTATTGTTGGATATATTTTAGTTAGTCTAGCTGGAGTCAGATACCAACAAGTCATGATTTTACAGAAAGTTATTTTAAGATCCTACAAAGTTTGAAAACATTTTTTCCCAGATCTATGTCCATATTTCGCTGAGATACGTTGCTAGACATATCTGCATCCCATTTTGATCAATAGATTTGTTGTGATGGTTCCAGTTCTGTAATTATTTTATAGATTTCTCCTAAATTTACTTTGGACCTGTCACTTTTTGAAATTAATACTTCAGATCTTCTGCTGTTTCTGAGGGAACACACTCCTATGTACAAGAAGCTGGCATAAAGTTACATGAGATACAAACGCCATTCAGCAGCAGCAGCAGCAGCCCACCAAACCCAAAGCCCAGCAGAAGAAGAGCAAGCATTTAAAACAGTGTTGTACGCTTGGTTGCCAGGTCATATGACTGAGCTGAACAGGATTAAAATGTAGCCCAAGTCCTGCCTCTCTTGTTCCCTGCCACATCACACTTCCAGTATACCCTGGGGACATACACTGCTTGAGCTCTCACTAAACTGGGATGAGCAAGTGACATTGGTGTCTCTTGGGAGATCTGCTGCACCTTAAGCTGCTCATCCTGGCAGACTGTACCATTGGATTGCTTTCTTAGTACAGCAAATAATCTTAATAAATCTGTTATGATGTGCTGTATTTGCAAATACTAGTTGATGGGTGCCTGCTCCAGTGGTGAAGCTGCATGCTCCGCTACTGGGGGCAGTGAGCAGGCGGGGGGGTGGCACCCCCCCGGGGCATGGCGTGTGCCCCAGGGGTGTGCCGTACATTCTGGGGGTGTCGTATGCCGCCCGCAAGGGCATGGCGCGCCGCCCGCAGTCCGGGGAGGGGGCGCTGCGATGGCACCCTACTGGAATAGGGTGCCGGGGGTGGACCGCTCCCTCTGCACTCCCGTTCCTCCGCCAATGGCTGGCTCCTGCTCCATTTCCTACATTACTGTCTTCAAAGACAGCAGTGAATTCAGAAGTTAGCAGCCAGGCCACCTCTGTCCTGGAGAAGTCACAGCTGATGCAGCAGTCTAAGCTGCTGAGAGACACATCTTATGAAGCAGGCCTCCTAAACCACAAGTGACAAAGCTGGAGCTAGGATTTTGGGAGAGGGGCAACCCCAGATAGAGCTGTACAACCACCATTTTATAAACAAAGCTTCGTTGACCATGATATGCCCTCTTTTGGAAAGCGTCTGTTTACTCAGAAAGAGGAAAAGGGACCTACTTTCATTCACATTCTGAAGTGGCAGCAGTACCGCTGAAGAATGACTCTTTCTTTGAACTTACCAGCTAGAAGTGACATTAAACCCCGATGAGCTATGTCTTCCAGAAGAAGAATCTACAAACAAAAAGACAAACGATTATTCTCTAGCTTTCCTTCTGTGGGCCATCATTTTTCCTTTCTTATTTTTCAGTGGAAAAAGAGCTGAGAGAGGAAGCACTAATTCCCCTAGAAAGCAGCGCTTAACACCTATGTGGTAGGTGATAAATGCTGCAGTCCTGAAGGGATTAGCACACAAGCTCTTGTAAAACTGTAGCAACACAGAAATCTCCAAGGCTGTCACTTCTCTAAAGCCAAATCTAGGCTAATAGGTGTTCCCCTCCTGCTTCTAGCCCACTGTAGACTTCAAATTACATTGCACTTTCAGATTCTCCAAGTAGAGTGAATGACCTGAGTGTCAACTATGCACAAAAAACGAGGCAAGAACAAAGTGAAAAGGTCTAAAAATGTGAACAGCTGCAGCCCCCAGGAGCCACATTTGAACCCAAAAAGTGCCTTGGCTGGGATTCAGAGGATACCTTTCATGAATGGAAGAGCTCCTTCCATTTGCCAAAAGCCTCATAATCACACAGAGACTGTTACTAGCAGAGAGAAGAAAGGACATTTTTACCAATGACTGCTTTCCACTGCAGATTCCCATACCATTTCTCCATAAGTCCTCTATCTCTCAGCAAGTTCTGAGTGGCAACTTGCTGATGACTTCCTCCCCTCTCCTTCCAAGGCTAGGAGTTTCCATGAGCACAACTTCACTCACAAGATTCCTGGATTCAACCCAGGTAGTGTGCTGTCCTAAAGCATGCCTGCTTGAGATTTCATTCCTTTAAACTGAACTAACAGGTTTAGGGATCAGACGGCAAACAGGTAAAGTTACCACATGTTACTGGAATAACTTCTGGCAAGAATTTGCCAGGCCAAAGTTTGTGACTTCTTGCCAACCAAAGCATATCTGATGAAGCTTATCAGTTCTATTTAGCTGATTGCAGCCTCTGGGAGCTTGTGACCAGACTTGTAAACAGGAGCCTTTGTGATGGCATTTTGAAGGGGAGGCCAAGAGTGCTGTCTCATAGTGTACATAGAACCAAGAAACATGGATGGCAAGTGACCTGCAGCACTTGTGCCACGTTTCCCTTCCTGCCTGAGAATGTGCAAAACTACACCTGCAGCAAGTAGAAGAGAAGGTACAGTAACTTGAGGCCTGCCTGTACACACTTTGAGCTACTGGGCAAGAGAAGGAAGTTCTAAATACAGCAGAATGGACTGCCCTGGAACAACAACACAGGTGGGTTTCCCCTAAGGAGAAGGGAGATGGCCCATTGCAGAAGACAAACCCCTGGAGGAACATGACACTCAGAAGCAGAACTGTCAGAAGTAATGTTGTGTCACTGGAACTGCAAAATCAATTCCATGTCCTCACCTCAGACACCGATTCTGGGCCAGAAGAGCAAGAACAGCAGTTGCAGATCATGGAATACATTGAGGTGGATGTGGAAAGTACAGTGTATAGAATTATCTATTCCTGCCACTACCCAGAGGAGAAAGACACATGTGGTGGTGGTGGTAGGTGACTCCCTACACAAAACGTCCACCATGTTTACCTAAATTGAGCAATCTGAATAGGCAGACAAGTTTTAACAAATTTCCATTTTTTGTACACAAAAAATGCAACATAAAAACCTGTTGTGTGCATCAGGAAAACCCAGCAAAGTCTTTCACCCAGGAAAAGAGTTTATACAGAATAGTTGTTGTGCAGATAGGATGCCACAAGATGGCAGTGAGAATCTGTATGGATTTGGGGGACGGGGAGGAGCTTGATGGACCACATACTGTTATTGCATCTTCCTGTTTTATACTATATCATCTACTGATCTACTGTATTTTAAAGATATACTCCTTGAGTAAATTTTTAAGATGTGCATTCATTCCAAAGTTCATCAAAGGCATTTGGGGGATTAGAATTGCAAAGCAGAGTATCAGTGAAAGAAAAAGGAATGTCTAACCTGGTGCAAGCAGCGAGAAGCAGGAGTTTGAACCCACAGGATTCCTCCAGCTATCCTCCTGCTTCATCTAGCATTCAGATGCTTCTTCTTTTCATCGCTGTCCCTGTTGCTTAAATGGATCTTGCAAGTCCTCTTATGTGATGCTCAGGTAAAGGAGGATGGCACCTGGAAGTGAGAATGGAAATGCTAAGAGACGATTCCCTTTCATGGATGAGTAGTGCAAACCTGTATGGGAATAACAAAGCAACGTGAATGACAGCTTGGATCAAATTCATAATGACCTGGTTTGTATAGGCCAGGTGTTATGTAGATTGGAGCTTGTTATTGTGCATCATTTTGGCAACCCTGCTGCTCAACTGATAGTTCCAAGAAAGCTGGGCACAAAGCCATTTGCTCAAGCAAGTCCTATACTAAACCAGGCAGACAAGGGGTGCTCCCTTTTTTTTTGCTTGTGTCCCATGGGCATGGGAAGCCTGCTGCTGTATCTTTGGTTCTTTTGAAGAGCTTCTAGGAGAGCATGCAAGCTGAATCTCAAAAGGCAAAGGAAGTCTGAATTTAGCACCATGTATTTAACAAATGTATCACTGTGATTATTCTTCTCACAAAACCCCCTTGGATTATAATAAGCAATATGGAAAGTTCCCATTTTATAACTAATACATAGGGTCACTGTCTTCTTCCTTTTCCTGTCTTAGAAGCAGTCAGCCTGACTCATTACAAATACCAGCTCATTTTGAAAGAAATACTCCTGGTTCATTTCTGGATGGAAATAATTATTTGCTGACATACCTGGAAAAGTTTGAACAAGCACCTCTTGAGCATGTGGCTGGTTCCTGAAATATTTGCTTTAATTATTTCCTGCTGCATGTTTATTTTGTGGAGTTCACCACCCTAGGCGTACAGAATGGTTTCTGGAGGAGGTGCAATAAATAATAACACATAAACAAAGCATTACTGGGATAAGTCTGCAATGAAATTTAAAATTAAATCTTTTCCATAAAATGTTAGTACTTGTCTATAGTCTCTTAGGTGGTGATGGGGAGATAACTCTAGAAATGAATAGAAGCTGGTGACACAATCCCTCCCCCCAAAAAAAATATTGAAGGAAGGATCCTTGTCTGCAGTGTATGTTCACTTCATGATTGCCTCTGTTTACAAACTTTGCAGACATTTCGACTACCAGAAAATCTCGCAAAAACATATGGTCAGACACAAGAGTGACCAGAATAAATATTTGCATATTCCAGAGGGAACACGTCTCCTTTATGCCATTTCAATTTGCTCCAGAACTGTTGAATGTGATCCAGTAAACATTATGGACTTTAAAGCCTCATTGATTTCAATACAAGTGGTTTGCTTAATTTTCCCACTGCAATCCATTGGACTTCAAGGTGATTAACTTGATCTGTAAATGCTGCTTGTTGTTCTCTGGCTTTAGACAATTGCAAAACACTTGGGACTGTGTTTTATGGCAAGAAGACAGGAAGGAACACAACTGACTCTCCTATCTGAAACACATCTAATTAGAAGCAAAATCTTGTTATTCCCATCAGACCTCTGTCTGGATAGGAATGGTTAAGACGATCCTTGAGCCTAAGAGAACACACACCATTATTTATACTGGCATATCTCAACCACAGCAACTCTGTACTCTTTTATCACCTAATTTCTCCTGTGATAACTATTCCAGTAGTGGAAGCAAACAGCCAAGCAGATAATAGGTCTAAAATCCCAAAGGACTATGCAATATAATGGTCCAGATGGTGGTACATGCTACAGAGGGGTCAGCAAGAATGGAGAGGTATCAGCTGGGGGCATGAAACTACTCAAGGAGAGCTGTTGTGCTGGGCATGAAACTACCTACGGAAAGGCCTTGTTTTAAAAGTATTGTTGTGTATTGGTCAACCAGTTGTTTTCCTAGTTATCATAGATATATTTTTAGATCGGAGCTCCTGTGCTAGTTTAGGAGGCCTAGAAAAGGAAAGGAATAAAGAACTCCCCATCTCATCCCTAGGGATGGTTGCTCAGCAGCATCAATGCTAATGAACAGAGAGTAGCAACAGGAAGCTGGTGTCTCCTCTGCTCTGTCAGTGCCAGAGATTCACAGGGGCCCCTCTGAGTGTTGTCATGTGCAATTAGAAGAGCAGAGGAGATAGGCAGGAAGTCATTCATCCATGGTTTACACAGGGTATTATCTCCTTGCCTGGCAGCTTGAGCACAGATTGATTAACAAAACATCCCATTTAATAATATTCCTGTGTAGTGGGGGAGGAGGAGAGATGCAGAGAGAAACCCCAGCAAAAACAGAATGAAATAATGAAGAAGCAAGAAAGAAAAGAAAGCACCTCATTTTGTGGCAACAACAACTTTTCAAGATAGGATAGGTCAGCAGATCCCCAGAGAATATGAAAAAAAATGCAGATAGACAGAATATTTAGCTAGACTATTACTAGTGGTGGTGGATCAGATAATGACTGAATGCGGATGCTATGGAGATGTTTCCCAGTCCAATCAGGCTCCTCATTATCTGCAGGTACCACACTGGTTACCAAATAGGTTCTATCGCACCCAAAATATCAGGCAAAGCAAGATTAGGGCATAAAGCTGCTGCTTTTTTTCCACTTCTGTGCAAGTAAACAGAACATTTATTTCACAAGCCAATCGCAGCTACTTTATTTGGGGATGGAAAGACAGAGATACTGAGAGGCAAGTGGTTGTGGAGGTGAATCCCAATGCTATTTCTATTAGGAAGTTTGTTAGAAGAGAAAACTGCAGCCCAAACTTCTGCAAGTGTTATATTACTATACTTCACCACATATTTGTGTAGGGAGAGAAAATACATTATTTCATAATGATTTCTCTGGCTTAGGAGGATAAAGGCCTCCCCTCCACACACACACACTTTTACATGCACTTGGATGAAAACCTAGCTACAGTGCACACAAAGGAACTTCTAAGTAATCTTCCACTATGCCGGTGCTTTGAATACTACCTTGCTCCTCCTATAGCTGATGTAGTAGCTGACTTGCAAAGAATAATGTTAGATGTGGTTGGAAGCAAAGTTGGCCCAACACTTTTGGTGCCTGAGGCAGCATGGCATCCTTCCCAACTCCATTCCACGAAGAGAAGCTGACTGGACTGGCAGTTAAATCTTAGTTCAGCACTGGTGATGGGACAGTGTCCTCCACTTGGCACACGTTGCTCCAACACCTTGCCACCACTCACTGCATCTGTCACT